AGATCCATCAGGTAAGATAGTCCATGAATACACGGAGCAGTCTGGTACCCAGTAAATTGTTCAGTGGACGGCAGCTGGTGTGAGTACTGGTACCGCCGTTATTACAGAGGATCACTAAAAGGGTGTAATCAGAAAAAAGACTGAGGAAGAAGTCAGGTGTGGAAGGCTTCCTGCAGAAAGTGGTATTTGGCAAGATTTGGATAGGTGGGCAAGAAAAAGAGCGCTCCAGGAGAGAGAAGTCTTGCGAGGTGCTTCAAGGGTAGCTGAGCTGTACGGTCTCAGGGTCGCGTGTTCAGCCCCTCCCAGAGCAGGAAGGGCGAGGCCTTCAATGGTCTCCCCGCCCCATAGGCTGGGCCTGCCTCCTCCTCCACCCACTGCGCCTCCGGATGCCAGGAGAGCGGTGCCTGGGAGGGGGCGGGCCGCCCGCGGGCAGGGCTCCCGGAGATTGGTAGCACCTGGAGTGATGTCGCAAGGGGCGGGGTCAGGGCTTCGGGCACGCCTCCTGCCCCAGACCCCTGCCCCACGCCCGAAAGGCGGGTCCCCGGGAGGGGGCGCTCAGGACACTTCGCGGCCCCGTCAGGTGGCGGGCGGGGCCCGGGCGGTGTCCGTGGGCGGGAAGCTGGGCACGGAAACAGGGGATCCCCCAGAGAGGGCCCAGCCCAGCCCCGGGCTGGACGCGTACAAAAGGCGACTTGTTCTTTCTTGGGATGCCTGCGCCTTCTCAAACATACCTACAGCCACACTCCGGGGACAGGGGACAGCTACACCTACACATGGCTCACAAAGCCCGCTGAGTGGGGAGTGGGGGGCTGCCGCTGGCCCCAGAGGTTGGCGTTAGGAAGAACCCTGCCCCAACCAACCCTTGCTACAGACTCGACACCATTCACCTCACCCTATCCCACTCCAGTGACCTGGATACTCCCAGCCTCCTGTGTAGCTCTGGGGACATTGACCCAGGCACATTCTCGTAACTACCCTCTCCCTCAGACCATCTGTAGTCACCAGGCCTGCCCTGGAGTCAGACGGGCAGGCTCTGTGTTCTATGTGACCCTGGGACACAGTGAGGCTCATTAGGGTTACTTTTTACTGAGTATTCTATGCTAATCCTCACCATTACCCCTTACGGTGAGTCCCATTCTGTGGCTGAGGAAACAGAGGTTTAGGTGAAACAGCTTGCCCAATGCAGAAGCAAGGATTTGAACCCAGGTTAAGCTTGACTTCAGAGCCCGTGTTCTTCCGTGTATTATCTCTGCCTCCCATCACATCATCTTACCCTCTAACACCCCACCACACACACAACCATAGACGGCAAAGCCATCTCAGAATCAAGGTGTAATTCTCCACCCCAAACACATCTCAATGTCACAGTCTAGTATCAGGCAGTTTCCCTCACTAATCAGACAGTGTGTTGTGGAGGGGAGAGTCTCCTACCTCTAAGCTCCGGCTACCCGCCCGCCGCCCCCCCTCCCCCGCCGGCCATAGAGTCATAAACAGGGCACAGAGTGAGAGCAGGGCCAGAACAGGCTACCTCTAACCTTTCCAGCAGGCTCACCTCCACCTCCCCTGACCCCAGGATGACAAAGCACTGCTTTACTTTCTGGGGTGCCAGGCCTGCAGCTCTCCCTGACCTCTTGTGCAAGGACCTCCCCTAGCCCCCAACCCCTGCTGAGAACAAGTCGAAACAAACTCCTTCCTGGGGATGTCAAAGCACCTTTCCTGGGGGAGGCGGCTCTGTGATCCCCTGAGCCCGGCTAGGGAGCAGGATCGGGTTACTCTTTCCCCAGCTGTGCCTGGACTCCTTTGGGTTGACCTTTCACCTCATCCAGGCCAGGACCCAAAGGGGGCTGGAGTCCAGCCCTCACCTCCTGTTAACCCTCTGCATTCCTCATCTTTTTATTCTGGAGCCCCCCCCACTCCCCATTGCGGGTCTCAGGAAGCCCAGCGAGCATGCCAACCTTTCCCCACCCTCCCATCCTGGGGTCCGATTTCCCAGAGAGCTTTACAGACTGCTCCTCCCTACCCCCTGCCCAAGCTGCCCTACCCTGCCAGGATCAGATACCTCCGCCCAAGCAGCTGAAAATGACCTGGGCTATTTTCGCTCTGGGATCGCGTTGCAAACTCCCCCTTGAGCTGGCAGCTTCCCACATCCCTCCACACCATTGCCCCCTACTCCTCATCCCTCACCCAGAACCACTGACTAACAGGACAGGAGGGCTTTTAGAGGCCACTGGCCTAAACTCATCAGATGGGGAGACTGAGGCCCTGAGGAATAGGCACAGGGCTGGGCAGAGAACCAGGCTTCCTGGGTCCCCGCCCACATCTGTTTCTACTGTCCAGCCTGGCCTGCTCTGTACCCTAGATCTCAAAGCCTCTGACCCAGCCGACCTCCTCTAAGCACCAGCAAGTCACACTGGAGGCTACCCACAAGTCTCTCTGCCACCCTGCATATCACAATCCGCTTCTGCCACACTCTTCTCTGTTTAGAATTGGGACCCGGTCTGTACCTGTATCACAGCAAGGTGGGCCACGAGAACATTTGGGGGGGGTGTGCAAACTGGAAGGAAAAATAGGGAGACCGGGGCTCAGAGGAACGGGAAGTGGATTCAGGCTTCCGAGGTTTATATTGCACAATACTTCCATGTTCCCAGCAGCCCCTAGCCCCAGCTTCTCTGTACCCCTCCCTTCCATTCCTACAAACCCAGCCCCCTCCAGGCCCTTGCCCCTCCACCTCAAGCCCCAGCCCTCCTGGGCAGGAATGTGACTGGTCAGGTCTGAGCTGACCACAGGAGTGGCTATAAGGTGACAGACCCCCCCATCCTCCCAGCCTGGGGGAGCTCACATACCAAGGAAGGGGGGGAGGGGAGAGCTGCTTTAACCCTTTGCAGCCAGGCTTTCAGGGTGAAAAAGAGGGGTACTCTACTACTAATGGCCACTCCCACATGAGTGCTGCCAGGCAGAAGCTACTTCCCCGAGAGGGTGGAATGGGGGTATCTGCCCCCCTAGTCCCTGTTAAGAAAAATTATCCTTTGCCACCCCAAGTGTTTCATCTCATCTCCCATGACATTTGGAAAAACAGTCATGAGCTGGTGCGGAGGGGAAGAGAAGGAAAGGAGGCATTATGAACCCCAACCTCAGGAGCCCCTAGTCTGATGGGAGAAATACAACCCTGCCCTGGGGAGTCTGATGGGGGAGACCAGGCACAGAGGCTAGGACAAAGAGCTGAGAGCAGAGAAGAGCATGGAGCCGGGCAGAAGAGGGAGGAAGCCAGGGCAGGAGCAGAACAAGCCAGGTGGGGTCAGATCGGGCAGGCTTCCCGGAGGCCCCTCGGCCCACACCCCTCCCCCTAGGCTCTGGAATCTCGGGGGTCAGGGTTGAGGGACAACTCCGCCCCCTGCCCCCCTCAGGCTCAGGAATTCCACCAGCCAAGGGAGGAGGGGGACGGCTGCTTCGGCCTTAGTCCAAGTTGGCTCCCACTGGACCGGCAACTGCAGCCCCTCCTCGGCCCCTCACCTCCACCCAAGTCCCTGGGCTGGCCCCCATCGCCCTCCCCTCCCCCTCTCTGCCTGGCACAGTGTGTGCCAGGCGCTGGCAGAAAACAAACCCGCCAGGGTGGGTTTGCAGGGAGCGGGGTAACCTTGACACAGTTGCGGCAGTCGCTAATGGCAGACACACACTCCGCCTGTTCTGGGGGGACTGTTGCCGTTGCTAGGAAACCAGCAGCCGCGTGAATGGAAATGGGTCAGTAAACCTGGGGAGAGATAGTGTGACACTCGAACCACTGCAGCTGCTCCAGCCCACACCGAAATCCCTCCTCTTCAATATTTATCACTCCCGCCTGGGCCCTCAGCTCCTGCCAGACCCCGCACCAGCCTGGCCCTCAGGCCCCCCCAAGGCTTGAGAGAGGAGGGGGCTAGAAAAGAGATGGAGGGTTGCTGATCCGCTCCCTGGGGGGGCCCCCCAGGCGGGATGGAACTGGTTCTGGAGGAGATTGAACAGGAAACAGAGTCTAATCCCATGGCGGGGAAGGGGTTAAAAGGTCAATTCACGCCTGTTCCTGACTTAGGCACCGTGGTAAAATTACTGCGAGTGTGAGCAGGCTTGCGAGTGCCTGCCTGCCTACCTGTGGAGGGACTATTTAAGACAGGAGACCTCCCTCCCAGTGTATAAGAGATGGAGGGGGGAGAAGCACCCAAAACATGGCCAAGATTCACTCACAGCCTGAAAACAACCTCCTTACAGCCTAGCAATCCCCCCAGTAGAGCCTGAGGCTTCCTAACAGCCAGAACTGATGCTCCTAGTAGAATCTGATAGCACCCCAAATGGACAGGAGCTGCCTATAGTGCCTTACAATACAGTCCTGTACAGACACCCCCCCAACAGCCAGACACTCAATGTTCAGAAAACCCTGACGACAGCCCTACACAGATACCCCCTCCCCAAGAGAACATGACAACTGCAATTCAGAACAGCGCAGTTCAGCTCAACACCTATAAACAAGCCGACAAACCTAGGCACAGACAAAACTGCCCTATGGCAGACTGTGCTGAATCTTCTGTCACTTCCCCATGAGGCTGGAGCCTCCCCAAACAGCCTGCTGTAACCCAAAGCCTGGTTCTCTGGCTCAGCTATGTTTTTTTCTCCCTCCCATTCCCAGCCTCCTTGTCTTGCACACACCCCAATATACTGCCCCCGCAACTGCTCTTCTGGACACACCATCCCACAGGCTAGCTGCCTCGCGCACCGCACCCCCCATTCCCTGGAGGCTGACTGGTCACTGACACACACATTCCCTTCCCCTACAACAAGCACCATCTAACAGCCCCGCCTGACACGAGGTCTTGTTCCTGGGCACAGGCCTCTCTCCTGACAAGGACCCTGGGAATCAGCAGTGCCACACACTCGGGTGATATGCCCCTCCACCCACCACAACCTCAGCCAGTATCCCTGAAGGGTGTGTCTTGGGAAGGGAGGCACTCCAGCCTTCTGGAGGGGGGGAATACCTCGACAGGAATCTCCCAGCTGACTCGGTTCTGTGTGCTCCTATCTCCTAGGATACATCAGTCAACACAGGCTCGGAGCCTGTCAGAGCTCGAAGGTGCCTTAGGGAGTCACTAATCCAGCCTCCTCTGCTCAGCAGGAGGAAATCAAGGCCCAGAGAGGAGAGCAGTTTGCTGAAAGTCACACAGCCCAACTGCTGCTTCCAGTCGTTTTCTCTTCTACAGCCCCTCACTAAGATCTCTCTACTGGTTGAAGAGAAACGGACTGGGGCGTGGGGGCGGTGGCGGGGCCTTGTCAGCCCAGGAAGGCTTTCCTGAGGCAGAGGGAGGTGGGACTGGATTAGCTGGGAGGGGAATTTGTAGTCCTAGAGATGAGTTTATGAGAAATGCCCAGCAGTGCATTCAGACATATGGGCACCTGGCAGCCCCGGAATCTGGGCCACATAAATTTGTTCAAATCCGGACTTTGCCAAAATGTTCTGATGGATACTTATACCGCCCCACACCCTATCCCAGGGCCCCAGTGAGCTGCCTCCCCAAACCAAAGGTAAAGGAAGTTTACTGTTCCCTATACCTAGCCTCGAATGTAAATTCTAGGGAATCCCCGCCTTTTATTATTCAAATAGATCTTTGCCAGGATGCCCCTGGGATGTGTGTGAAAGAGGTTTTCTGCTAGGTAGTTTTTATTTCAACTCCATTTTGCAGAAAAGCAAATTGAGGTTCGCAGAGGTGGGGTAAATTGCTCAAGTTCACACAGACAACAAATGGAGCCTTGAGTTCCTTCCAGTACACAAGGAAGGCCGATCCAACAGGAAACAGGGAGAACTGGGGGTGGGGGGGAGGGAAGGGTGGGAGTTGACACAGGCCCAGGCCCAACATCCTGGGCTGAGGGGGAGCCAATAGGCATCTGAATTTGAATCTGGGTATCTGGGTTCCACTCCCACCCACTAGCAGTGGTAGAGTGAAAGGTCAGCATGGAGATGGGAGGGAGAGGAAGTAGAATTCCATCAGCTCTCAGCCTGCCTGGGCCATACCCCAGGGAGCCAGGCCAGGGGCCGCCCCAACTTCCCTCAGCCCAGAGATCTCTGCCAGCCCCTGCCCCCACCCTCACCCAAACAGCAGGAGTATTGTGAGGAGACCCATCCCCCTCACTGGGCCTCAGTTTCTCCATCTGTACTAAGAGCTAGCCTAGCAGGGAGGATTTCTAAGGCCGTTCCAAGTTTAACATAGTGCGACGACCAGTCCTAGTTCTCAGTCCCCAGCACAAATTTAGAAGTCACTCCCCCAGTCTGGAGCTAGCCGAGAACATTAAATACGTGTTTGATGAATAAATGAAAACCAACATCTTTCCATCCTGCCCAGCCTGAGTGAGAGGCACTACTTACCTTGGGAAGCCAAATTCCACAGGGTTGTTGGTGGGGAAGGGGATTCAAATACTTTGAGGGCTCTGAACTGGCTGCATGTTACACGGGTGCCCTTTACTCCCCTGCCTCACTAGTGCACACACTATGCTAATTGCTTTAACTTGTGCAACTTTAAGCCCCACAACAAGGCCATAACCTACCTACTATTAGCTAGTTTTTCAGATGAGGAAAGGGACTAAGGTGTGAAGGGACTTGCTCAAGGTCACACAGTCAGTGAGCGGCAGAAAGGATCTGAACTGCATCTATCCCCACTGCTTTTGTTTAACATGATGAGGGTGTGCTGGGTTGGGGCAGGAAATGAAGTTGAACAGGGACCATCGGCAAGGGGAGAGGGGGTGCACCCCAGGACCCAGGGGAGGTGCCTGCTGAGTTGCCAAACGGTTCATCAGTTTGCAGGGCACCAAATGGTACTGGAACTAGCAAAGTCGTGGGAAAGCATCCCTTCCCCTCCCCCACCCCACAGTGCCAAGAGGGAGCCCTGAGAGGTCACTTACCTACTCCCCCGATCTCAGGACTCCTGTAAAGGAAGCCCCTCCCTCCCGGGAGCCCTTTTCGGGACTTCGGGACCTGTAAGGTGCAAAGCCGCCCTCAAAGCAAGCTGCCGCCGCCGTCGGGAACACTGTCCAGGATTTTTCCGGCGCGTCCGCCCCCCACCCGCACGGCAGTTGCGGGGGTTGGGGTAGGGGGTTGTTGGGAGAAGACTGCCTCGCCTCCCTCCTAGAAGCCCTTAGGCGCCTCGTGCTCGAGCAGGAGGCGCTGGTCCACAGGCCCAGCCGTTCTCGGGCCCGAACGGTCCGCCTCCGAGTTTTCCCGCCGCCGCCTGTCGGGCTACCTGGCAGGCCACCCCCGCCCCCCTCCCAGATGAGGCCGCGGAGCTTCTGACTCCTGGAGGAGGTGACGGGCCGAGAGGGAAACCAGGCGGCTGGGGGAGGGGCGTTGCCTGCACCTGGCCCCTCTCCGCCGCCCAGGCCGGGAGGGGCGGGACTGGACCCCCGCCAGACCCGAAAAGAGCGGCGGAGGAGAGGAGGTGGGCCGCCCTCCTCTCCCGCAGGCTGGGGGAGGGTGGGATCTCCCCCCACAACCCTCGCCGCCGAGGCGCCCCCTAGGGTCGGGCTGCGAGGCGCCCCTTCCCGAGCCGCGCGCTCAGCCCGCTCCCCCGGCCGGCCGCACTCTCCAGCTGCAGGAAATTCCAGAAGCTCTCCATCATCCCGGCGCAGCGCGCAGCCCGGGCTGCCAAGGCTCCCCGAAGGAGAGCCACATGCCGGCCGGCCGCGCGGCCCGCCCTCGCCCCCCTCTTCCAACCCGGCCGGGCAGCCACGTCGGGCCGGGCGGGGGCCCGGCCAGCCGCCCCTTCCCGCGCCCCGGGACCGGCGGAATGCGTGGCAGCCCCGGCCGGGGGCTATTTTGAGCGGGAGGGGAGCGGCCCAGCCTCGGTGTTTTCGGCTTTTTCCTGGCCCCTGGCCCGCCAGCCCGGGCCCTCGGCTGCCCGCGGAGTGGGGGGGTCACGAGGCGCGGGGGAAGAGGAGGGCCGCCGCGATCCGGCTCGGGCCCCGGGCTCCGGCCCAGGCCCGGGAGGCGCCCAGCGGCGATCCGGACCTGCGCTCTCGGCCTCGGCCGAGCGGCGGGATTATTAATAGCGCGCCTGGCTCGGGCTGCGGCTCCAGGGCGCCTGCTACCTGCACGCCCCTCCTCCGGTGAGCACAGGCGGTCGGGGCACTCCCTCCCCAGCGGCGGACTCGGGCCTCACTGGATAGCGCCCTGTGCACCAGTGGCCAATCACCGGCCTCGATTTCCTTACCTGTAAATTGGGGTAAATTGGGGATGGGCTGCCTGGCTTTATGTGGTGCGTACCAAATAAAAGTTTTGCTTGCTGTGTGCCTCTCCTTGGGCAAAACGCCTTCCCTTTTTGGGGCCTCAGTTCTTCCATTTTATTATAAAATGAGGGGATCTGAGAGGACTCTTTCCAGGGGAAGAATCCCTTACATTTGAATAATGCATTTTCACTTACAATCCATTTGAGCCGAGTAACCCCCCCAATGGTAACAGCTAACACCAAGCACTTGCCTTGCATGATTAGCATGCATTAATTCACTTGATTATAAAGTTCCCGTAAAGTAGGTAGTATCTCCTTTTTGTTGCTGAGGAAACTGAGGCTCAAGAAGGTTAAGTGAACTGCCAAAGGTCACACAATGGCAGAGACCAGAATCAGATAAACTCTGGCTCCAGAGTCTCAGTTAACTAACCACTGAACCATAGTGCCCTGAGACAAGCAGGACAAACACTGCCCCCTTTTTATAGAGGAGGAAACTGAGGCTTCAAGCGGGATTTGCCCAAAGTTGCCTTTGGCCACTTAGTGGCAGAGGTGAGCATCCAACACAGATCTTCCGACACCTAGTCTAAGGCCCCACAGCAGCCCTCTGAATCTGTTCAGCTCCTGCCCTGGGGCTGGTAGTGGGGTCTCCAGGACAGGGTCCTGGAAATGGGCACGGAGGCACTACCCCTATGGGAACCAAGCTGTGTCCTGGGCCCTGGAGATTACCCTCCACTCCCAAGGATCAGACCCAGACTCCTGGGCCCCCAGGGTTCATTAATCCACCAAATTCTAGATTTACCCCAGCCTCAGAGCCATGGGGGTGGGGGCATCTGGGGGTGAGGGGAGATGGCCTGCAGGGGTAACAGCCTGGGACAGGGCCTGGAGTTGCTTCCTGCCCTCCCACCCCTCAGCAAGGAAGCACAAAGGCTGGCAGGCCCCCCCACTCCGCCCCGGAAACCTGGCAGTTTATTTCTGTCTCTGGGCCCCCTGTTTCCACAGAGTCAGTCCAGGAAGGCTGGCAGCAGCTGGCTTGGAGGGGTGGAGCTCCTGCTCCCTCAAGGGTCCAGCTGCTACCCTGCCCCACCCCCACCTGCCAGGACACACCAGAGTCAGAGGTGACATTGGGATGAGGGAGGGAGTAGCTGGAGGCCAGTTGGTCAGGACTCCAAGGGAGGGAACCCTCTCCACCTCCCAACCCAGAGCCTAGATGCTCTCCCAGGGTGAGCCAGTCTATACTCAGTTCAAGTCAGCTAAGAGGATAATCTCTAGTGTGTCCAACTCTATTTATTCCAGATCATTCTGGCTCAAGACTCCTCTGGACTCTGGTCCCAAAGAAAAGCCTGCTTCTAAATCTGTACTGCCCAACATGGTAGAAACTGTTATTGAGCACTGGGAATGTGGCTATTTGGAACTGAGATGCACTGTAAGTATAAAATATACAACAGATTTGAAGTCTAAATATGAAAAAAAAAAAAGAATGTAAAATACCTCATTCATAATTTTTATAATGATTATAAGTTGAAATGACATTTTGGATATATTGGGTTAGATGAGATATATTAATTCACTTATTTCTTTTTACTTTGTTTAACGTTAACTGGAAAATTTAGATTATATATGTGGCTCCCATTACATTTCTGTTGGACAGTGCTTTTCTAGATCACTTGGTACTCTGGCTTAGGACTAAGACTGCCTGGTCTAGATCAATATCTGTGTGGCTTTAGCTCACCCACTTCTCCATATCCAGACCACAGCCTTACGTGTGGGTCTGAATCTCACCAACCAACGCCACCCTGTCCCAGCTGTCTGTGAATCTAGGCTCAGCCAGAGATTTTGGCTTTGTCTGCTTTAAAACACTGCCTAGTACATTTCTTATTCACCATTTCCCAATATCTAGATCCCAGCAAGAGTGTGGCTCTAGATCACCTTCTATGTTATCCAGCCTGACACTCTAACCTTGTTTGCTGAGATCACTGTCCAGTAAGATTTAAGATCTAGGTACTCTCAGGAGGCATGAGGTGCTAGATCAGGGGTTGGCAAACTATGGCTCAAAGGCCAATGCAGCCTGCTGTCTGTTTTTATAATTCTAGTTTGATTGGAACACAGCCACGTTCATTCATTTATGCATTGTCTTTGACTGCTTCCAAGGTACAATGGCAGAATTGAGTACTCATGACAGAGACCACATGGTCTACAAAGTCTAAAATTTTTACTATCTTGACTCTGTACAGAAAGTTTGTCAACCTCTGTTCTAGATGACCAATGGTCCACCCCATCATAAATCTAGATTCCAGCCTGAGACCATGGCCTAGTCTAATCTAGATCAATTCCTGCTAGATGGTACTGCTGACTAGGATTGAAACCAGAGCCTAACAAGCGCCCCATGCTGCTTGGGTTCCAGATCCACTCTGATCTCAGGAGCTGGGCCCCAGTACTCTTCTCTGGGATGGAAAGTGTGTCTCCACTTCCAGACTCCCTTAGAGAGATCAAGGCCCATTGGCCCTCCTCAATGGCCTTGGGAAGGGGAAGGGAGGGTAGATTCCAGAGCCAGCATTGGAGCTGAGTCAGAGAGTCAGGGGTAAGCCCTTCCCTGCCAAGGGGGCAGAACATAATCGGCCAAGAAGACAGAGTAGCACCACACTCACTCCACTCCTTCCCAGCAGCTGGGGGTCAGTGTGGGACAGATACCAACCCCTGGAAGCTAGACCAGGGGGCTCCAAAGGGAATCTTCACCTCCAGCCACCTGATGCCTATAAGCTTGGGGCTGAGCTGGCACCTCTATCCCCCTTTCCCACAGTTCACCTTAGCTCTGCCCCTTCATGGCTTTCTTTGAAAATCCTCCCACAGCTGCCCCTCTCCCTGCCATTTCTCCTTCCCCCATCCTAGAATCCTAACCTTAACCTTAGCAGTTAAGGTCTTGGACTCCAGAGCTCACAAACCCAGACTTCAGTTCCAGCTCTGACTCTGGGCAAGTCACCTCACCTCTCTATGCTTCCTCAGTTTCCTCATCTGTAAAACAGAATAATGATGATACCTACCTCATAGGGTTCTTGTACAGACTTAACAAGATCATGACATATATCACTTTGCCCAGCACCTGGCCCATAGTAAACATTTGATGCTAGCTGCTATTTTTATTACTATTGATCATCTAGTTCCATGGATAGATGTTGGCAGGTTTGTAAACCTCACAAAATTTTAACCCAAACTTGTTTTTGTATTTTTCTGAAGAGAAGGTCCATGGCTCTTATCATCTTCTCAAAAATGGATCCTTAGCCCAAGTGGTAAAAAAAAAAAGGGGGGTGGGTAAAAAAAAATCCAAAAGGGGAAAGAGGCACACAGAAAGAGAAGGACTAGCTCAGGGTCCCTCAGAAAACGTGAGGCAGACCCAAGGCTAGCACCCATGAATTCCGTCTCCCAGGCCCCACTCTTTCCACTAGTCCAGGCTGTCTCTCTAATCTGGCCTCATCATTTCTCACCTGCACAGCTATGACAGCCCCTCGGTGGGCTCCCCCGCTCCAAATGTCTCCACTGCTTCTTCCCCACCCAGTGCCAGATTCATCTTCTTCAAATCTCACTCTCATGACACAGCGTCCCTGCTCCAAAACCTTTAATAGCTCCCTACTGCTGATGACATCAAGGCCGAGGTCTTTAGC